CCAAATCTGTTAATTGAACCCTATATATGTAAAAACTGGATTTCGAAGACTCCCTTAATAGATTGATGTTGAAGTACATTTCATTTCGTTTGAAGAGGCCAGTGAAAGGGATTCGTAAGTTGGCCTCAATAGAAGCTGTAGGGGGATTGCCTCAGAGCTGTGACTGTAGATTTGTGCGAATAGGTTCTCAGTTCACTGCCCTGCGACCCCGATGAATCATTGTTGAGCTTTCGCTTGTCATATGATGGACATCTTCAGAACCGGAGACCATGCTTTACGATAATTCACCAAGCAAAAAGATAAGAAAGGTGGCCGGATGGAATTCTATCTACTTCTCATATTTATCGTTTCATAAGTAGATTTTCGAGACTAAAAGTAGATCTCATAGCCTAACTTTGTTCAATTAATGAGATATCTTATGATTTGATTGGATATTCTATGCCTTTCCTAATTACTTATTGTAAAGTCAAATGACGGCTGATGAAGAAGACAATTGAAAGCCATTAAAAATCATTGGCAACTAGTAATGGGGTCTGTTGGAGCCGTATTGAGATGCTTCCATTGTCCATCTTCTATTATGAATTTCTCCTCAGTTGATGCATTGGCACGCTTTCAGAGAGAAATGACCGAGTTACAAAAGGATGATATCCATCGATATCTTTTTACCCAATTTTGACCTTCAAGGCAGAAGTACAGTCTTAGTAAGTACCTTGGACAGTGATGAAAAACTTCTGGTGGAATGACAAATTCAATTCATTACTCATATCCTGAACTTCACTCTGGAAGTTTAGACATTTTTCCTATCTTTACGCCGTGGTGGACAATATCGACAGGTTAACACAACCAATAATAAAAGAATCGTTGGGGCCGGGCGAATGGTCGGCATAAAGACAACTTAGGGCAAATGCGCTTCTTCCTGCTGTACTAAGAGGAGAAGAAAACACACAAATAAACTAAAATGAGGTAGCAGTCTAGTCGAGAGGGGCAAAGATGCTTCAATAGGAGAGTGGTCGCCTTTCAACAAATGCTCTATTCAATAATGACATCGTGTGTGTAAAGTCGATCAGTACTTCGAGCAGGTTCAAGAATTAAGTTTCTATAGTAACCATTACAGAATCAATTAGACTGGAATCTAGGCTGAATAATTCGCTCTCAATATATGAATTCTCTTGCGTTTATAACGGCCTCGCATTATGAGCTAAAAACAATAGCCCTTTCTCAATATAATACCAGTGAATTTGCGAGAAATTTTGGCAAATGTATGCGTTTTATTCGAAGACATGAAGATCAAGATGGTGTGGCCTTTTGTGTGGTCGCAGTCTCCTTTCGTTGTATAGAGGTTATTTGACCTTGTTATCGCAACTTGGTCATATTGTTAGGAAGACTTAGAGGAACGCATCAAGTCCGGAGTCCATTGTCTGCATGATCATTTCCAGAGTGGGACCGTGGACGTGGTACATTTCCAGACGTTTCGCCTGCATCGTAGTCGGCATCATCAGTGAGTCTCTCCATTCTTAGCACCACTCAACAACTCGTCAAAGAGACAATTGAAGCCGATCCTTTGACCAAACGTGTGCTAAACAGTTATGCTATCTCCCCTTATGCCCTGGGCTATTCACATTTCCTATATCCTCATATCACGCTTTCACTCTTACACTTTTTACCGTGCCTATTTCGATGTAGTGGTCTGCTCCTTTGAGCGGCATTCATGAAAACCCTTCATACTCCACCTTTCGTTCTCACACCCTTCACCCTTGTGCTGGGAATCAGGAATAAGGATGACAACCAAAAGAGCATTTGCCTGCCCTCATCAGAACTGAGCCAACAATTGCGACCGTCACTAAGGCAATGGAATATCAAAGTGTTAACAAAGGAGAAGAGGACACTTTTCACCAGTTTGCCGACGCAACACGAGAAGACGGACAAACTTGAATGCTCGGGAGTTTATGGCATCCAATGCGGCAACTGTGAGCAGAAGTATATTGGTGAAACAGGAAGAAAAGTCAGCCTACAAATCAAGGAACATCATAGACCCTGCAGGAACATGGATACGAAAAGATCCGAAATAGCGAAGCATGAAATCGCCTAGAAATCGACCGAAAGGTTGGCTGCATGTGGTGAAGATAGAAGAAAACGCAAGATCCAAGAGGCCATCGAAATACTGACCGAGAGAGATCTAATGAACAGGAGACTTGAAGAAGGAAGGATTACCGAAAACTTTGCATATTGCCTAAACAAACTCGGAAAAGACCAGGCGACAGTAATATGAGCAAAAAGAAGACGATAGGATCAAGGTAATATCCTTAATTTTAGTAAAAGAGATCGCAAGGAGACGAGAAAGGAGCATTCAGAAGCAAAGAGGAGACGTCTTCAGTGAGCCTAATCTAAACAAGTAGAACCACGACAATTGTGGGTTGGCACAACATTGACAACAAGTTATAGACTTGGTATTAGGGTTAGATACTGGATAGACGTGGCGGAGACTGGAGCTAGTTGGCTGACAGTAGGTCCGTTTTTTCCCATAGACGTGGTAAATGAGACTTACTCAGAGGCTTTAGCCTCGAATTAGTCACCCAGACGCAGGGTAGGGCCAATAACGCTTCAAGCTGGCACAGATGTGGTGGCAGAGGTCGAGTGAAATATGTGAACCAGGGAGAGAGTAGACGGATCTTACGGGGCAAGAGCGAGACTGTGATAAAGACCTAAGGAAGGAGGACTGCGTAACATTATGGCAGACTCTGATCAACATTCCCAGCACAAGGGTGAAGAGGATGAGAACGATAGCGTGGAGTGTGAATGGTTTTCCTAAATGTCGCTCAAAGGAGCACACCACTAAATCAAAATAAGCACGGTAAAAAGTGTAATAGTGAAGTTGTGATAGGAGGATATAGGAAATGTGAATAGCCCAGGGCAGAAGGGGAGGTACCACAACTGTTTAGAACACATTTTGTTAAAGGATCGGCTTCACTTGTCTTTTTGATGAGTTGTTTTGGGGTGCTAAGAGTGGTGATGCTCACTGAAGATGGCGACTACGATGCCGGCGAAAGGTTTGGGAACGTACCACGTTCATGGTTCAACTTTGGAAAGGATCATGCAGACAATGGACTCCGGACTAGCTGCGTTCCTCTAAGCCTTCCTATCAATATGACCATGTTGCGAAAGCACGGTCAAACAACCTCTTTAGAAATTATTGTTGCGTCTTTCATTTCATGTAGATGCGCGCCGCGACGACGACGGATAACTTTTGCACTGTGATCGTCTGATATATTAGTGAAGTTGAAGCTGACAGAATTCACGATACATCCTTATTCGATTCCGATGACGATGGCTCCTTCTTATGGGATCATTCTACGAACCTCTTCAGCAGATAATTTCCCTCCAAAGGAAGTTCGCCATTTCAATCTTACTTGAGAAGATTCAATTACAATTTGTTTGTTTGTTTGTTTTTTATTAACAGGTAACTTGATTAAAGGAAAGCAAATGAAAAGGACCATACATATTACGTGGTCTACCAACATCGAATTCCCAGATATTCCCTGGGTTGAATCATAAAGAGGAGAT